CATCGAACAATCGTGGGGACATTGTCCGCACCCTTCCGCGGCCACTGGATGAGAAGAAACTTTGCCGATATATTTTTTGCTGCAGTTCTGCTGCGCCTAATTGAGTCGTATGTATTCTAGGAAAGCGTACATAAGTGAGGATACTGATAATTAATGACACATGGCCAGCCAGCTCACTTTTGTTGCAGTTTACGTACATACACTTACGACTGTCTGACGGAGCTGACCTAACCTACGAAACGTAATGGACGATTCGTTCGAACAAGTCGGTACTATGTACATCTGGTCGGCTTGTTTTATACCCACTTGACTCCAGACCAGACAGACATCACTTGCTTGCCTGGTTAATCGACACTTTAGCTCGGACTTACTAATTATAGCTTGTATGCATCTCCTGTCAAATTGTAATTCATCAAAATTTGTAATTTCACTAAAAATTTGAAAATTTGTAAAAGCTTATCCGTAGATAATGAGGGGCAGATAAGCTTAACCAGAATTAGGCATATTTATAAGTAAAATGAGTAATAAGACCACAATTTCATCTCACTTTAGCTCGAACTTACTTATTGCATCTCGTACATACGTGGGTGTTTTATTATTGATTTTCAAAATGTATGTTCCGCACTGTTTCTGGCCAAACTTTTGATGAAATAACAAACTTCAAATACATTTAGGATGCTGTGATTTTTTTCAGTTCTGTAAGTTATCATTAACGCTAGCAACAACTCATCAAAATTTACCTCGAAAATATGCCAAAATTTACGACTTGATTTCATTATCATCCGAATACCGTTTATCCCTGATGTCTTTCTTTAAGTTTCGATACGAATAATAATCACTAAGGGTCAAGTCTGGACTGCACGGGGTGTGGTTTGTGCAGGTAAAGAGATTTTCGTCTGCAGCAGCCCTCTAAAACAGCCAGGTATTTGGTGGTGCGTTGTCGTCTAAAAAAAGGCCAACTCTTTATTTTGACCCCACGTTTCTTTTCAACCGCAGGACGCAGCACCATCGGGGTTCCTGCACACACAGCCCCATTTATTGTAGTATTTCCAGCAATAAATTTTATAAGGAGGAGACCTTTGGTATCCTTGAAAATGGTCATCATCAATTTTTTGTCAGATTTTTGCACTTTTCAATTCACGGGCGGTGGCAACCCCTCGTGCTACCACTGAATGAGTTCTTATTTGGTCACCGGGTCATAATAGTATACCCAAGTACCATATCCAGCTAATAAAATATTGAGCAGATTCAAGTCTTTATTTAATAGGCTAAAATTGGCATTGCAAAAGTCGACTCGGTCCTGTTTGTGAGATGCCGAAAGCAATTTTGGTACCCAAAGGACGGAAACCATTTTTATACCGAAGTCTTCAGTTAACATGGAACAAATTGTTGTTTTTGGAACACCCATCTCATCTGCTGAATAGGACAGTTTCAATCACGGATTTCTCATTATTGGTCCCTCTAGTTTCCGGAGCCTTTCTGTGGAAGAAACGGATTTTGAGCGTCCTGGCGACTTTTTGTCCGAGATCTCTTTTCGCCATCATTTAAAATTATTGGCACAATTGAATTTGTGTTTTGTGTTGGGCAGTTTTCACCGTAAATTTTAAGCATTCGATCATAAATCTGCGACACGTATTACCCATCCAGCATTAAAAATTAAATCACACTACGATATTTAATTTGCAAATCTGACATTTTTTCCGCCGAGGTAAAGTTTGCCGATTTATTGCCAGCGTTTATGTTAACCCACAGGGAAGAAAAAAATCACAGCCTCCTAAATGTATTCGAAGTTTATTATTTCATCAAAACTTTGGTCAGAAACAGTGCGGAACATACCTTTTGAAAATCAATAATAAAACACCTACGTACATATGTAGCTCCTGTCAAATTCTAATTCGTCAAAATTTTGACAAATTTCTAATTTCACTCAAAATCTGAAAAAATTTACAGATACATAAACTGTGACTGTAGATTATGAGGGGGCAGCTTGTACATAGATAGATAAGCTTGACCAAAATTAGGCATTAGTAAAATGAGTCACATGACCAAAATCACATGTTTCGGGTGGGCGGATAAGAAAAAACTGAATGTCCGTTGCGTTGGTGGTGGGGATTCATTCAAGAATTCTCTTTTTATTGTGTAGTCAAACTGTCTAGAAGGAGGAAACGTGATTAGCAAATCTGTTATTTAAACAACGGAACGTGGAACACGGGATAAAATTGCATCGACTTGTCTCAAAGCACTCAAGAAGTCTAAAAGTCGGTGTTGTGGTTGTGTGTGGTGTTCGTTCATCGTGTTTTGTTTGATGGTTGGGCGATGATCTAATTCTAAATCGTTAAATGACTACATAAATGTTGGTGTTGTTTTGCTTGAAAGTTTGCTAATGTGGATTTGCCACGAAATGATGGAGGTTGAAGAAAACTCGCCAGACTGGCAGGATCCGATGCAATTCTATTTTGAGTGAACTTGCAGCTACTTTTTTCATTCGAATTGGCATAATGAATATTTCCAGAGAATTGCAAAGGGAATTATAAAATCTTGAATAATAAGTATTGTGTAATTGGGAAAGTTTAGGGGTCGTCCATAAATTACGTAACGCAAAAGTCGCAACCTCCCTCCTTCTAGCATGTGTAAAATAAGCACGATCTTAAGCACCTCTCTCCTCTCGCGTTACGTAATTTATGGACGACCCCTTGCGTTTTTAAAATTTCCATAATATTTCTTGAACATTGGCTGTGTGGACAGAGAGATAATAGCAGTGGCCGCGGAAGCTGTGGGGACATGGGGGGACATTAACATTGTTGGACCCACGGTTATTCGATGTCCCTCAATCATCTCCCCATGCTATTTAAACCCCTCCCCCTATCCTAGACTGTCCCCAGATGTCCCCACAATTTCTGCCGCCACTACTCTTAAGTTTAGCAAAATTTCCATGAGATAATGTGCAAAATATTCGAAACACTATTTCAGGATGAGGTCCACAAGTTTTGACTAAACTCAAGAAATTGAGGAGAGTTCCGGAAACTTAAAAAATATAACTTTACTACCTGCTTAATACATAATTTGTACATAAGTTTGGTTACACAAATTCCAAAATCGGGACAGGCAGGGTCAATGCCCAGTGGAAAGTAAATCGCAACAGAAACGCCGTTTCTGCTCTGAATCTCATCACATATTCGTAACTTTACTGCGACTAACAGAATGCGTCCATAAGGTACAGATTAAATTGTCATTTGCTTAAATGATCCAAGCAACTGTTGTTTGTTACATGTTACGTTACGTTTTATAGTACGCGGAGTAGTAGTAACTCAATTTTGGCTCTTTTTTTAAATTCCCGATATTAATATCAATCTGATCCTAGGCCAAGATGTCATTCTCCTCCTCCTCCCTCCATCTCGTACAGCATATTACTTTCATCCGAATTTTGTTGTCCCGTACAAAATAATTCTGCTGCTGCTGCTGCCTTCATTTCATTTCATATGTAGCTCTCATTTCACTTCTCAAGAAGTGAAAAGCTGCCAAAATTTACTAACCAACATAATCGCCGTGCAAATCAACAGAGCAGAAGCCACTCTTTAAAAAGACAACAGAAGAAATGGTTAGTCGCACAAGGGAGGTCTCCCAGCGGGTGCTCTCGGATTTTGGGTAAATTAGTTAGTGTCAAACGATCGCAAATTTAATTGGTATGAAATTTTCGAAAGATACGATCTCCCAATGCCGTTTGCCAGAGATATTTGCATCCGAAGAGGAGAAAGCGCGCAATAAATTTGGAAAGTGTAAAATTTGTCGACTTTAAGGCGCGCTTTCTCCTCTTTGGATGCAAATATCTCTGCCAAACGTGCCCATTGGGAGATCGTGTCTTTCGCAAATTTCATACTAATTAAATATTGATACGATTTTGCTCAAAATCGGAGAACATCCGCTGGAATACCTCCCTTGTCAGAAAGTACATAAGTGCCGAGTGCAGTGCCACACACTTATAAACGAGCTTGTTCCATTTCAGATTTAAGTAAGTATCTCGCAGGTCCACCCAAACTGAAGAAATCTACGTGTTCCGTTCAGGCTGCATTTTCATGGAGGAAAGCCAAATAAAGTTGGACGGAACAAGAAAGTGAGTCATCAAACAATTCTTCGATACAGATAAGCGACGTCTTCGAATCAGAAGAAAGAATACGATCTGTTCTCTCTCTCACTTTTGTCTGCCATGCAGTGCTTTAATACAGTCAGTTAGTTGGACGCATCCACAACAACAACTGGCTGTCGGTGATGTACTTACTTACATTTCAGATTTTGAGATTAGACAGAAAAAAAGGCGCACCAGCGATTAATTCACTTTATTCGCTGGTTGCCTTTCTTATGTATGCATGCAGGCAGAATGTATATGCACATCGCCAGTGGCCGCGGAAGCCGGGGGACAGGATAGGGGAGAGACAGGTTTATATGAGATGGGGACATCTAATAACCATGTGTCCCTTCCGCGGCAACTGGACATTGTACCTATTATGCAACAGGGGACAAGGTTTATGGGATCTGTTAATGGAAATAAACAACTGCACGGTTTGAGACCCAAGTTTTTCTTATGCAACGATATCAACCATGTATTTACTAAAGATTGGAGTTTGGACTCATTATTTTTCGCGTAGAATCAAATTGTCAACGCAGCTTTTTGGCTCGTAACGTTTGTATTTAGCCTTTTTAATTATTTATTGACTCGCCTGTCGTATCAGAACAACTGTTTTATGGCCTCAGCCACCATAGTGGTGAGTCACGAAGTGAACTTATAAATTCACAATCTGCAAGAAACTTGAAACCGTTTAGGAACAAAAGTTTCATTTCGCGAGAGATCAAAGTAGCAAATTTTAGCCTAAATGTTTCATGAAGAAAATATGTATGTAAGAGAGATTTTATGACATTTGAGTAAAATACGTGTGCAAAATTTCATGTGTGAAAGTGGGTGAAAGTTGATATAGAAGTATGCAAATATGTAAATAAGTACTTACTGGCAGACGAATTCTCCAATAGTCTCAAAGTAACTGCAGACTAAAATAGAGTAAAAAAAAGACTTGTTAAAAAAATAATTTCGATAAGATAACTACAAAATGTCAGGCTTATCAAAGTATGTACTTACCTCCTCCATTCAGGCAGTACGAGTCGTACGGACATTCTCTCGCTTCCAGGGGCCAAAGCGTCGTCGTCGCTGTTGTCCCTGGGTTAATAAAGTAAAAATAATAAATTCGCGGTGCAAATCAAAGACACGTTTCCGATTCCGGAAGCGTTTTGCATTTCATGTCTGGAAATGAGTGCAAAACTTGTCTCTTTTTATTATTTCACAAAGGAAAAGACCCGCACGAGCAGATGATCATTTTTACAGTGTGTCTTGTGTCCGTTTATCGCTTTTTTTTAGCACGCAAATGAGTAATCTCTCCATTTCTTAACTAATCCTAAGGCAATAAACCCGTTCCTACTCACTTCCTGTTGCTGATCACAAGACCGATACTGGAAATAATGCTTATCTGTCGTAGACAATGATTCATTCCGAAATTACAAGCAGGAGTGACGATCATCCTGTTTTTCAAGCCCATCGGTTGTGTGTCATATTTAGCTCAAAATGTCATCCATAACGTTCAAATCGACAGGAAGGAGCAAAGCAATCTCGTACAGCACATGCTATACACGTACGTAATCTTGCTAAAAACTAAGAGTTGCACATATGCACATAAAATACTCTTGAATAATTACAAATGATGCAATGCGTCATAAAAACTTTAAATAGCTTCGTGCATACTTATCAACGGTGGAGTCATCAAGAAAGTTTTTTAATGGCTTATCATCTAATATGAATAAATTGAATACGGAGTTTTTTTCCGCTTAATAGCTTATCATCTAATAAGTACGAATGAATTGAACGGTTGACATTTACTTATCTTGATAAAGATCATCATCATCATTACGGGCAAATCTCAAAAATCTTGATTGCCAAAAACCTCCATTTCCATAATTATGTATGTATGTACATCACTTTTTGCAAAAAACAATCTTGATTACCTAATAAAAAACCTTAATTTCTATACAAATCACTTGTTTTTGCAAAATCGCAAAAATCTTGATTACCAAAAACCTAAATTTCTATGCACATCACTCTTTTTTGCAAAACTTACCAATGGAATTGAACGATGACGATGGCTTTTTCACCACGGGGTTCGTATTAGTTGTCGAGGTTGTGGTGGTGGTGGTAGCCTTGGGTTTCGTGGATATCGCAGGCGTCGCCCCCCCGGAGGCTGACACCAACGTGGAAGGGGACAAGGACACTCGGACACTGGCGTAGGCCGACCCAAACACATTTTTAGCTTCACATCGGTAAACCCCGACATCGCTTTCTCTCGCTTTTCGTATCACTAGGATGGATTGTCGCCTGAAAAAAATTGTATACAAGGTCTGATAAGTTACTTATTAATAAACATGACCATTAACTATTAAATATGTAACACTCTTCGAAAACTGGTAATAAATCGTTACTGACTGGCCTGAAAAATTACATACGAGCTTTCACAAGGTGTTAAATATGTCCATGCTTAAGGGCCTGGGGGAAGTTGCTTAGAAATCACGTCAACTTTGACGATAAAATTCAGCAATGCACAAGAGGGCAGATTTTTTAAATTATGTTTAATGCGTTAATCATATCTTTAGATTTTACTTGAGTTTTTTTTGACGATCTGCCCTCTTGTGCAGTGGAGATATTTGGTCGTAAAGTGAGGACAAATTGGCTTAGAATTGCCAAATTAATGGCAGGAATTGCATTTTGAGTTTTCGGTGGAACAAAAGAAACAACTTTTTTCAAAAACTTGAGGGACTTGAGGGAAACTTTTTCAAAAGCAGTGACAAAACCAAAGCTTTTGTTCAAAGCTTTTGAACGTGAGTGTCCCATAGAAACGGTGTCAATTAATTGTGGTCGTAACCTAACAGAGCGATAATAATCTTGGGGCCCTGGCAATTATTGTTGCTAACATAAAATCAAGTAAATCTTCCCCCGGGCCCTTAATAAACTGGTATTAAATCATTACCGACAGGATTACGTAGATGACTCTACCTTCACCGGTAACAATTAACGGACATTTAGTACTGTTGTGGTTGTGGTAATGACAAATTTACCACTGAGGAACAAACTACTACCAATCCGGTAGGAAATTATTACCAAATCGATACCGACTCTACCCGTTTTTTGGAAAGTGTGACTATCATACAGTGGCCGCAGAAGCCGTGGGGACATTGCCATTGTAGGATAGGGGAGGGATGGGTTTATATAAGATGGGGTTATGATGGGGACATCGAACAACCGTGGGGACATTGTCCCTCTGTCCGCGGCCACTGTATGCATTTGTACGTATATGTCTCTATGTGTGGAATCAGTGACCGCTGAAGCCATGGGGACATTTCCATTTTAGGATAGGGGAGGGATGGGTTTATATAACATGGATAGATGATACGGACATCGAATAACCCTGGGGACATTGTCCCTCTGCGTCCCCACACCCTTCCGCGGCCACTGTTATTAACCATTATATCATGCATATAGATGGATGACTCCTGGTTAAAATCATTCCGCACCCCCCTAACTAAACCCAAGTTTCATCATTTGGCTTATAAATTATGGCAAAAATTAGTCCATGCCAGCTCTCGACATTGTTTACTTAACCCATTTCTCAGAAGTGGATGGAGTCGCACTTACCTGACTGGCTGGCTTTCCTCTTTTCCCTGAACCGTTATTACTCGTATCATCGAATAATAAACGATATCACATTTTTTTCAAGAAAATGCAAAGACCAGAAGAAGATTTCAGGCGAAGCAATGAAAAAAACGGTGATAAAAAACCAAGCAAAGTCCAGTTTACTATAAAGTTCAACTGTACATATTAAGTCCTGTTTACAAACGCGTTCCAAGGAAAACAGACGCCGGCGGTGTTTCAGGTGCATTTCATGTTTACGTTTGTAAAGTAAAATCAAAGTTTGAAGGTAACAAAATGCATCTCTTCTTCTTCTTAAACAGGTTTATGTAAAACCTAAACATAGCTCTCGAAACTATACCGACTGTTTGTAAATGTTTATGTGATCTCGTTTATCATTTGAGGTTAAAAAGTGTCTTCTAAACTACGGGAATAGGATCGAGAAATCCCCGAATATTATTATTTGTACCCGGGTTTTATTGCTAATTAAGTATTTATGCATGACTTTCGACTTTCTCTTGTAGATGCATGGGGATTAGAGAGCAGTGGCCGCGGAAGCGTGGGGACAGAGGGACAATGTTGGTTATTCGGTGTCCCCATCGGCTCCTCATGTTATATAAACCCCTCCTTCCCCTATCCCACAATGTTAATGTCATCACAGCTTTCGCGGTAACTGTTAGAGACATTGCGCTAGAGTAATTTTGTGTGATTGTGGGTGTAATTTTAACTGTAGATAAATAAATTATAAGTGATTTATCTAAAATCACAATCACTAAAAATTACTAATCCTACAATGTCAATGTTCCCAGATGTCCCCACGGCTGGGTTCCGTGGCCACTGTTAGAGACGTTGCGCGAGAGTTATTTTATGATTGTAGATGTAATTTTTGATTGTAGGTAAATAAATTATCGGAGATCCATCTATGTACAATCAAAATTACAATCAAAATCACAAAATTACTCTTGTGCAATCTCTCAATTCTCCTTTAGTTGTGCCATAAGTTCCTCAATATATTTGCATATTTGCATAACTTATCAATGGCCCTTCTCTCTTAAAGCTTTGAATGAAATGCTTCTTGCCAATACGGCGGATTATCCGTCGCGACAAGAATATTTTGATTTTTATTTTCTTTCCCTTTGTATATACCATAAGATTAACTGGTCTTTGATTCCTAATCAAGAATTCCATTGAGCTTGAGCACAGAATAGATTTTGGAAGATCATTAACTACTTAACTAAATAGTTAAGTTAGCAAAAACAACGGAATGCCAAAAAAATCTTGACTAAATTCCTTCACCCAGATTCTACTGCAATACCCAGTCAGTAAACGAAACATGCATCCTAGTCGTCCGGATTCTACAGGACATGTTATGTTATCACAGGTCGTGCTTTTCGTTGAAAAAGTCACTTTCTCTAACAAGGGAGGTCACCCAGAGGATGCTCTCCGATTATTAGCAAATTATTGTCAATCGATCGCAAATTTAATTAGTATGAAATTTGCGAAAGACACGATCTCCCAATGGGCACGTTTAGCAGAGATATTTGCATCCAAAGAGGAGAAAGCGCACAGTAAATTTGGAAAGTGTAAAATTTATCAACTTTTTGGCACATTTTCTCCTCTTCGGATGCAAATATCCCTGCCAAACGTGCCCATTGGGAGATCGTGTCTTTCGCAAATTTCATACTAGTTAAATTTGTCATCGATTCACACCAGTTTGCCCAAAATCTGAGAGCATCCGCTAAGAGACCTCCCTTGTAAATGCCCAAATTAACTGGTTTTATTTAGATATATTATTATGCATATTTATTTAGATTAAAACCTAAATAACTCACCTTTTCGTCCTTAGGCGAAATTTCCCCGTATCGGTGAGGTTCACAGGTCGATCATCCTTATACCAGGTGAGAAGCGGGATCGGGTTGCCCGCCCGGAGACGACAGCGAAGCCTTAATCTCTCCTTCACATTTAGCTGGACATCCTTCGCCGCCACGACCGAGGGAGCTTGGCCTTTTCCGGTTACAAAAAAAATAAGAATCAACATTTAAGAAACTCGTCAACAAAGACAAAGAAGGAGAACATCACCATCGTAAAAAAAGGCATAAAACGATATAAAATGCAAGTCATGTCGTCATAAAGTTGGAAAAGAACAGGATGTCACTACACTAAAAATAATGGCCCCACACTAAATAAAATCAAGTTCTTTATACAATAAAAAGTCACACCACATCAAAACTGTTTTAATTTTATCTATGCGAGAACAGTGGCCGCGGAAGCTGTGGGAACAGAGGGACAATGTCCCACGGTTATTCGATGTCCGCATCATCTCCCCATCTTATATAACCCCTCCCTCCCCTATCCTACAATGTTAATGCCCCACAGCTTCCGAGGCCACTGGTTAAGATTTGCATCGTGTGACGTATGACAATGAAACTCAAGACTAGACAATCACCGATATTCTTCTCTTCGTTATTTCTTGGGAAGGGTGGGTGGGTAATTAATAACAAATAATATTTTCGTCATAGTCATAAAATAATAGTCATCTACACCCAGCAGACAAAAATAGTTTTACCCTTTAATAAGGATACTTATTGTGGTTTGGTTACCTTACATGTTTTTGAGCATCCTATTTATGTAAAAGGAGGATATAGAGAACAAGGAGACTGAATACAGGAAACAAAGGTTGCATTGCAAGAGACAAGAGCAATATTTCTCCGTTTCACGTCCGCTTCGGATACGGTTTTATTTAGGAGACTGAGAACTTTTACTTTTCTTGACAAATACAACATAATAGGAACATGCTACGTATTTACGAGATGAAAGTTGGAATCAAAATGTATATATCAGAGATCTATACGGGTTTTGTTAGTACATAGATGCACCATTCTCGCATCCAATCCTCCAAAAAATTCATGTCCTGTCGTCGTTGTTGTCGTGTTGTCAAATGCCATCTCGCTTTATGTCATCATAAATACCAAGTCAGTCAAGTTATGTATGTGTGTATGTAGTTGGTTGTCTCGTTTTTTGCCAATAATGGCATCCAACACTGTTAATCGTGTACAGTCAGCCGAGGTCATCTCTGCCACCGCGGCGTCCTTGTGCTACCTTTTACCCCAACAAAAAAAAACTTTCTCTTAGGTGGACTGGACTGGACTTTGTTACATTACACGGGGCTACTTGGTAGATTGGGAGTCCCAATTTGGGGCCTTGCAAAAAAATGACGGTATGAATGAAGTGCTGATTCGCGTGACAATCAATTTAATGCAATTTTATCATGGTTGCCTAAATAGCAGTACATAATCCGTCTCGCCAGTTATATAAGGCAGCAAGCAGCCAGACAAAACTATCAATCAGGAATTTATGGTTAATCATTTCCTCAATTCTTGTTGCACGTAAAATCTGAATTATCATCATCACGACTGGACAACAATGTACGTTACGACTAACGGGATTTGATTTAGCCAAGTTATGAGCCTTGTATTGTATAGGTTGCAAAGTTTGTGAGGTGACCGATATAAAAACTCATGTATGTGCAAGTTTTCCTTAGAAATTGTGTATGTACGGGCAATCAAGTTTGATACGCGAGGACGACAGGAAAGGCAGGGAAAAGTAGGAGAAGAAGAAATTCGGGCACAGATGAAATTCTTTTTTTTTGCTGAAAGGAGAAAGTCATTCTGTCCACAACTTTGGGATAAACGTGCATGTTGAGCATGAACATGAATAGTAAACGTGAATCTAAGGGAAAGTTTACACATATGAAGGCAAGTTATTCGCCTTTGTGAGAAAGTAGTTAGGTAGTAAAATCTTTGTCTATGCACTGCACTCTTAGAAAACTGTTAGAAAGTTGTTACTGACTGGAGTATTTGTACATACTCTGGCGGCACTGGTAATAACGGGCATTACCGTTTAGTAATGTCGTGGGAATACAAAATTTACCAGTCAGAACCAATCCGGTAGGAAGTTATTACCAAATTAATACCAGATTTTTAACCGTGTACTCATTCTCGTCGTGATGTGGTTGTAACTGCATTTTCAGAAATAAATACCCATACCCCCGCATTGATCAAGTATTTACTCCATTATAAAATAGTGGTTCTCTCTGAATTGGTCAGATTTCCGGTACGTCCCGTAAAAGGATATGTACCAAAAACTTTTAGGGAAACTTTCTTGGCCACTGACTCCCAAACTGAGAGGACAACTATGTACTGGACATCTTGCTGACATTCTAACTTATTTAGTAAAAAGTTTATCAAGCAAGTATAATGTCAGAAAGGAAGCGAAATAAAGTTTTTCCAGTCCAGAAAGCTTGACCTCAGGAGGAGAGTGCATGGAATCCTGTGTACATTCTCCAACCAAAGACACACACAAATAAACCGTTACAACACATGCAACAAAGGGGTGAAAGTCATACGTCAAAATGAATAGTATATTGTTTTTATCCGTCGAAAATCTGCAGTGTTTTCAACATTTGTGACACAAGTATCAAATTCAACCGTTTTGTGACCTCTGGGGTCAAACTAGAGGTCATCACCATTGAATTCGGGGTTCAATTTCCGTTAAAATTGATATACATATATGCAATGTAACCTTCTTTGACCGCGTCCCAAATTTGAAGTTTGTATTTAAAGTTTCGTTCAAGAGTTATCTGACCAACGGACAGACAGACAGACACAACGCTCATATAAAGGTGCTTCACTCCTTAACAGTGAAGGAAAATATGCATGCCTTTTCCTTACTTGCATATGTTGAGGTCTGTCTGTGCATATACAGATATGCATCCACAATTTCAATTTGTTTAACATTGGCCTAGGTTCGGGAGGAGGGAAAAGAGATGAATAAACTTATGCACAAAGAGATAACTCATGAGTCAAAAATAGAAATCTAAACGTCTGCTTCAGATTGGAATGCGGATTTAAATAAAACTTGATCTCACAGGAATTTAAAAACATTGCGGAATTGTTTTCCAAACCAGATCTGGATCTTTCTCTTCGGGGTGAAGGACAAAGTTAGAGCGAACAACTGGAAACGATTTCATAAATTTTCCATCATCTTATCCTTGCATGTGCACAGAATCTGATGGTTTTGGGGGAGATTTTTGATACAGAATTTGGCACCAGCTTCATGTCGTGGTGTCAAAATGTTTGGTATAAATAATTTTTCAGCGAATTCGAAATGTTTGTTTAGAGTTAAAATTGAGTTGAGAAAACTGATTTAGAGATGAATTGATTGAAATGAATGTGAAGAAACATGATATTCAATCTACAATGGAGGTTTCCCAGTGGATGCTCTCAGATTTTGAGCAAATTAGTGTCAATCGATCGCAAATTTAATTAGTATGAAATTTGCAAAAGACACGATCTCCCAATGGCACGTTTGGTCGAGATATTTGCATCCAAAGAGGAGAAAGCGCGCAATAAATTTGGAACGTGTAAAATTTGTCAAATTTTAGGCGCGTTATCTCCTCTTCGGATGCAACTATCTCTGCCAAACCTGAGCATTGGAAAATCGTGTCTTTTTGCAAATTTCGCATTAATTAAATTTGTGATCGATTGCCACTAATTTACCCAAAATCTGAGAGCATCCGCTGGGAGATCTCCATTGTTCGTAAAGGACTCGGATAGTTGACAAACCGCGTTATGCACATATGTCGGTCGTCTCATGCTAAGGAAATGACAAGCAATTTTTCATCGTCGTCTTAATCATGATCAATCTCTTACATAAAAAATACGTAAGGATGCCATAAACTCCCCGTGATAATGGAAATATATTACAATATCATTAATATTTTGATACATCACAAATTTGTCATTGTTCCCAAACAGCTCTCGCAAAAATGTGCATCTCCTTCGATTAAAGCTGCGAATAAATAAAGTCGCATCTTGTAAAAATGAGGTTGCTTAATAACGCTTCTTACTTGATACACATGCACAATACCAAAAGTCCAAAATAGGTTTAACAATGGAGACATAAAAAAAGTCATAACAATTCACGAAAAAAAAACGTCCATTAATGACTACCGACCGAGGAGAGATATTTTCCGGTCCACGCCCGGTCTGTAAGATGAGCTCAACGTCAACCTCCACCACTCAATCAATGCATGTATGAACATTTGCGGCGGAAGCCGTGGGGACATCTGGGGGTATTAACATTGTTGGATATTGGAGGGAGGAGTTTATATAAGATGGGCAGATGATGTGGACATCGAATAACCGTGGGGACATTGTCCCTCTATTCCCCTTACCCTTCCGCGGCCACTGTGCACATACATAAGTATTTAGAAAGCAGTGGCCGCGGACAGAGGGACAATGTCTCCACGGTTATTCGAAGTCCCCATCTTATATAAACCCGGCCCTCCCCCATCCTACAAAGTTAATGTCCCCAGATATCCCCATAGCCTCCGCGGCCGATGTACCATTATTCTTTCTCACATCTTGCCCACCACTCCCAACTCGGCTACCATTCTGCTTTGGACTGAATTCTAATAATGCACCCGATAAAGAACAACAATGGGTTAACCGCATTGCAACTTGACCCTGCCACTTTTCAACTCAGCTCACATTTGTCATCGGCAGACTAGACTAGACGGAGGAATGATTGCTCTGAACTTTCATGTATTACATATGTAAGCAAGCATTCAGTGGCCGCGGAAGTCGTGGGGACATTAATAATGTAGGATCATCGAATAATCGTGGGGACATTGTCTCTCACGTTTCCGCGGCCACTGCAAGTCTCCTGCTGCATAATCGTCACGCAAAAATATTTAGATGTTTAATTACCATCTTCAATTTATAAACAACCGACTTTAGAAACGGGGGTCAATAGAACTCTATATGTAAATTAGTGGGTGGATAATTTTTAATAGGTTTATTCGTACTAATAGAAGATGACATGGGATCACATAATTTTCTTGCATTGAATTAGAAGAAATAGGATCAAAAACACCTTCCATCTCGTAGGTGGTATTTCCTTCTACCGGTGCAGACATTTGAGTGCCAAGTGGATAAAAGGGG